TAAAATAGTCCATGTGACATCAGTGGTTCAACTGTAATTTTAAGCTACGAGAATACTTTTCGTGTGCAAAGAAAACAAAAATCAAGACCTTATTCTACAGTTGTTCTCCTCCAAGTCACCTTCCTCCGCCATTATGGAGAGTACCACGACGCATGCATGTGCATTCCTCTACTTGTAAACAAGGCTCCGAGCAGTATTTTACCGATGTCCTTACTACATTTCTGTGCCTGCGAACATTTCAGTTACGTTGCCTTCTATGCAGGGTAAGAAAGCTCTCGGATTTCATCAAAAATATCTTAATTTGTCTTCTGAAGACGAACGAAGGTCTTACAGGTTTGGAATGACATGAGGGTGAGTAATTAATGACAGAATTTTCGGGTGAACTATCACTTTCCCTTTAAAGTAATAGTTTGCCCAGAAATGAACATTTGCCATTAATTTACTCTCTCTCTGGCCATGCAAGAAGTAGCTGATGTTCTTTCTTCAGTAGAGCAAAAGATAATTTTTAGTTGAACTCATGGTCCTTGGTGATTCATAAAATGCAGCTCAACGGGTGTCGTCACTTTGCGAGTCAAAAAACATAAACACTTTAGATCGGTCGTGTGTCCTGTGTCTTATCTTTTGCCCAGCAAAATTGCTCAAAAAGTTGCCCCGTGTATCATAGGCTTAAGCAACATGATCACTTACATCCCACATCTTGAGAACGGTGGAGTCATCCTCAAGCAGATAGGCGGAGGGAGCACGGAGGACAGCAGCTCATCATACATGGATGTCAATATTTCCTTGAGAATTAGAGATTCTTGATTTAACATGGAATCTAATCAGCACCGCCACACAATACTATGCATCACCCTAAAACTTCTGTGTGTATGACAATACAACCGAAATCACTCAAAATCAACTGTAGTTTCTTTATCAGCCATTAAGAAGTGTAACCACTGACCTGAAATGTCACATATCCTGAAAAGCTGACTAAGTACTTCAGACACTTTTCCTGTCGGATCAACTTTATTTCTAGTTCTTCAGGTTGATGGTCATAATTTTGAGAAACTTTGAGCAGATCTGCACAAATAAATAAGCGATTAAGCCAAGGTATATGTACAGTGTACTGTAAAAAAAACAAAAAAAACACTGCAAAATAACACATTTTGAACTTCGAATGTCAACTACAAGTATAAACCTGACACTAAAAAAGGACCAAAAATTAACATTAGCTGTCGGTTTACTCATCCTTCGGCCAACTAAGATGTAGGCTACTTTCTTTCTTTAGTAGAACACTAAAGATGATTCATGACACAAATCAATTATTTTTATATGGTAAAGAAATATGGTGCTTCGTTTAATCCCATAATACAAACATTACATTTTTAAATATTTATTTATACTGTATAATTTGATTTGTTAAATATTCAATTTTAAGTAAGAACACAAATGTCTTGGGTAAATAACACAAGCTTTACTGGTATGTCTTGAGCCAAATAACGTTACTTACATTTATAAATACCTGTCCTTACAAAAATGTACAACTCGTGGAACAAAGTGAATCAAATTATTGTGAAACATCTATGAAAATCATAACTATGTTCAGCAATGCGAGGCAATTATAACGAAATATCCGACTCAAAACCGCCATTTTGAGGTCATTACAATTTGTTACCCGAAAACATTTTAATGTGTGCACACAATGCAAAAAGACAGACTTTGATATATAAAAAAAGTCTAAATATATTTGATTCATCAATTCAATCGATTTTTGACCTTTAGTAACGCGGGATAAAATGGCTCAAATCATTTGCAAATGCACAAAATGCATTAACTGCTAAGACACTAAACGCATTTAAACAAATAAAACAAGGAACTTAGGATAACTTACCAGTTGCGCGGGCTGAACGATGAAGAGAAGCTCATCACCAGCAGGTTCAGAAAACCGCATGCCGCGTTTCCCCACAAAGGTCCTCACAGGCGATCAAAAAATATCCCCTCCTACATTATTTTTTTAATAAAATACGAGCTAGTTTTTCGCGCGTTGCAAACTTATTTTTAAACAATAAAATCCGAGGCGAGTCAGCGAGCAACAACAACATGGCGTCTTTTCAAAAAGTTGCAGCAGCTAGTTGAGGGTGGAGCACGTAAGCATGTGCGTGACGTCAGACGGGATTGTACTAAAACTATTTGAGTACCCTGCCAAAAACAAATGAAAGCATTTGAGTGCTGTAAACTTAAAATTACATTTGTATACTAATTACTCAAAAAATTTGAGGCGAATGAACGTTTTTATTTATTTTGAGTAATTACAACCCAATTCCTTTATCAAAGATTTACTATTTGGTTTTACAGTGTGGCAGTTTGTTGGTTAAAAGCCTTTGCTAGTGTTATGGAAGAATGAGTTGATCTGAGACATGAATGAAGTGTTTCAGTAGTTTTTAGTGCATTTTGGATGTGAAATTAACTGCTGTTCCAAGCTGAATTGGTCATGAATTGGTTAGGAGAACTGTGAGAAGAGTTTTGAAAAAATGACTTGAGAAATGAAGTATTGAGAAATGTGTCCTAGCAACTGTAAAACATTGCAAATTACAATTCATATTATGGAATAATAATTTTAGGAAAAAAACAAAAGGAATTTTGGCATGCAATTGTAAATTCTGTCCAGAACTGAAGTAGCAGTTCTGTGATGACTGACAAGCTAAATATAATTTAGATTTGCTGCTCCAGTAAATTAGAGCAAGATCTAAAGCAGAGCCGGCGGGGCAGAAAACCAAGGCGGAGCCAAGGCAGAGCAGAAAACCAAGGCGGAGCAGGCGGCACTGAAGACCACCAGGGTGGATCAGGTGGAGCTGAAGAGCACCAGGGCGGAGCAGGCAGATCAGAGGACCACCGGAGCAGAGCTGAAGACCGCCACAGCTGAGCAGATGGGTCTGAAGCCCTCCATGATGGAGCAGATGACCACCACAAAAGAGCAGACGGCCGGCACAGTAGAGCAGACGCGACCGTAGATCCCTACGGTGAAGCAGGTGACCACCAAGGTGGATCAGGCATAACTGGAACAAAGAGCACAGAGAGGTTAACAGCGGCCTCTGTTGCTGTAACAAGGCAGGTAGAGTGATTACGGGCGGCCTCTATAGCCGTGACAAGACAGTCAGAGAGTTCACAGATGGCCTCCATAGCCATGACAGGACAGGCAGAGAGTTCACAGACAGCCTCTATAGCAGTGACAGGACAGGCAGATCGTTCACAGATGGCCTCCATAGCCGTGACAGGACAGGCAAAGAGTTCACAGATGGCCTCTGCGGCCTCTATAGCCGTGACAAGACAGGCAGAGAGTTCACAGATGGCCTCCATAGCCATGACAGGACAGGCAAAGAGTTCACATGCGGCCTCTATAGCCGTGACAAGACAGGCAGAGAGTTCACAGATGGCCTCCATAGCCATGACAGGACAGGCAGAGAGTTCACAGACGGCCTCTATAGCAGTGACAGGACAGGCAGAGAGTTCACAGACAGCCTCCATAGCCATGTATAGCAGTGACAGGACAGGCAGAGAGTTCACAGACAGCCTCCATAGCCGTGACAGGACAGGCAAAGAGTTCACAGACGGCCCCTATAGCAGTGACAGGACAGACTGAGAGTACACAGATGGCCTCCATAGCCGTGACAGGACAGGCAGAGAGTTCACAGACGGCCTCCATAGCCGTGACAGGACAGGCAGAGGGTTCACAGATGGCCTCCATAGCCGTGACAGGACAGGCAGAGAGTTCACATGCGGCCTCTATAGCCGTGACAGGACAGGCAGAGAGTTCACAGATGACCTCCATAGACATAACAGGACAGGCAGAGGAATCACAGATGGCCTCCATAGCCGTGACAGGACAGGCAGAGGGTTCACAGATGGCCTTCATTGCCGTGACCGGACAGGCAGAGAGTTCACAGGCAGCCTCCATAGCCATGACAGGGTAAACTGAGTTCAGAAATGGCCTTCTCAGCCGTGACAGGGTAAACTGAGAGTTCAGAAATGACCTCCTTAGTCATTGCAGGACAAACAGAGAGTTCAGGAAAGGCCTCCTTGACCAGGACAGGGCACTGAGTGAATTCAGAGGCATTCTTTGTGACCGTAACAGACAGGGCTGAGAATTTATGATTGGCTTCTAGGGCCGAGACGGGTATGACAGGGGATTCACTGACGGTCTCCATGATCTCGTCAGGACAGACAAAGAGTTCATAAGTGGGCACCCCTGTCTTGAGAGGAGCTGAAGCGAACATCCCCGCCACCTCTGGAGGTTCTGCAGCAGTAGCAACAGGAGCTACAAAAAACACAGAGAGTTCAGAGACAGCACTTGCAGCTGTAACAGAGGCATCAGGAAACAGGGAGAGTTCCAAACTAGTGTCTGTGGTAGAAACAGAGGTGACAGGGAACACCGAGAGCTCAGGGGTGAGTGCTGCTGCTGTTTTAGGAGCAGCCGAAGCGGACATCACTGCCATGGGAGGTTCTGCAACGGAAGTTGCCACCTCAGGGGGAACTGGAGCGGACTCAGTTACTGAAGCAGACTCTGGAGCGGGCTCTGGGACTGGAGCGGTCTCAGAAATGGATTCTGGAACTAGAACAGGTTCGGGAATTAATTTGAGTACTGGAGCAGGCTCTGGGACTGGAACGGGCTCTGAGACAGATTCAAGGGCTGGAGAGAGCTCTGGGGTAGACTCGGGGACTGGAGCAAGCTCAGGAATGAATTCGGGGAATAGGACGGATTCTGGAACAGACTCTGGGACTAGAGTGGACTCGGGAACAGATTCGGGGACTAGAGTGGGCGCCACCACCTCGGGAGGTTCTGCAGTGGAGACTGCCAATTCTGGGGGAACTACAGGGGTTTGTGCGACCCATACACACAGAATGGTCATAGCCATAACTGGCAAGACAGAGAGTACATTGTCTATTTCCGGGACTGATGGCGCTGTGCCTGGGGAAATGGAGTGAGTAGCGGCCTGCAGGTTTGAGAGCATTGAAACCGCAGTGCTTGAGAACACTGAGACGACGGTTCTTGAGAGCGGAGAGTCTGCATTGCTTGTGACCGGAGAGTTTGCGTTGAGTGGAGAGTCTGTGTTGCTCATGAGCATAGCAACCCCTGGAATGCCAGCAGCTCAAACCAACACCAGTGGTGGATCCTCCACCCTGGATACTAATTGTGGACACCTTGTGACTGCTTCAAGGGCTCTGGATGTGGCTGACAGGATTGTAGAGGGCTCAGGCAGAACAGCCACAACAGGGCACGGCTCGGCTGTGACAGGAAGAGATTCTGGAACGGCAGTCGTGACGTGACTAGACTCTGGATCGGCAGCCATGATGGGACGAGACTCTGGATCGGCGGCCATTTTGTGGAAAGTCTCTGTGCTGGTAGCCATTTTGTGAAAAGTCTCTGGGGCTTTAAAGTCCTCTGCCTCTCCCACAGTGAAAGGAGAACCACATAACAAAAGAGCATAGTCCATAATGTGCCTCAAACTACAGTTAAATTTCTCTTCAGGTAACCATGATTTTGTTGGTTCAATAAGTCCATAACGGAAAAGGTCCTTTAAAATAATCTCATCAAACGGCACTTGGTAAGACAACTCACAGAATTGATGAACGTAATCCTCAATAGATAGATCATTCTCCCGAAGGTGCAGTAGCTGGTCCACTGGGTCCATGATTGACCTGGAATGCTCTAAAAGCCACTGGCTTGCCGTGGAGTGGGGATCCAATTGCAGGCTTTATTAAAAGAGCGTGGTCAAACAGGCAGGGTCAAACACCAGCAAACAATATATATCCAAGGTTGTCCAACAGAGTAATCCACAAAAGAGGCAAAGGTCAGGGCAGGCAGCAAACAAACATCAAACAGATCAAACACACGAAGGCAAAGCTAGGCAAGGCAAGAAAAGGAAACACGGGAATGAAACACGGAAAAA